GCAGGCGTACTGTTTGCCTCACCGAGTAACTTTTTTACTGGGTTTTATGGTTAATCTGCGAGCCTAAACACGTTACAGGACTACATTTTATACATTATCCAGATTATGGCAAGGCAGAGCATATAATCAGAGTGTTTGAAAGTATTTTATTTGCGACATATAGAGGGACAGCGACACACTATTTGCATTGCATACAGTTTGTGAGGATTACACGATCCACTGAGAGGCACAGCAAAGTGCTGCCTCATCGCGCATCTCCTCCATGTTTTTGAACGGGACATACGGAATTCTGCTATTCTTTATTGAAAAAATTTCATTCAACATCGGATTCGAACGGCAAAAGGGCCCACAAATATTAACACTTATTATATTTTATGATTAACTTTTTTTTTTCTTTTCACGATTGACAGCGGAGGCTCTGCCTCACCTGCCTCACCTGACCGCACGTCACTGCTTGCAGCCCAGTGACATCAGACACAAATTGCCAGTGTGGTTCAACAGGGATAACCTTTAGAAAGGTAAGGTGTGTGCGCACGGATCTCAAGTTGTTCCTGCATTTGTTTCACTATTTGATGGTGAAATAATTGGAATGGAGACTAGCTGCTGCCTCTAATGCCCCTTCTGTGGTGAGAACTGTTGTTTCCTCCACCTTTTCAGTGGAAGTGATCTAACTTAATATCTTGTGAGAAATTCTAACGGCAGCTTTACTAAAAATTGTCCATATAGTTGAGCGCGCCATCAGTGTGGACATGTTTGGTTAGCAGTGTGCCTTTTGTGGCTCCCTCCACCACAGGAGAGTTTTGGACATGTTAGTTTACAGATTTCAGTCAAACTCTTGAGTGTTAGTCTGCTGGCTGAGGAACAGATTTTAATTTTTGGTGTTGATCCAGGGGTGTTTCATGGGATTTCTGTATGACAGGCCTTTTCATAATGTGTATGAATTACAAATATCTGGCACAAGTATCCCATGATTCTCTACATGCAGAGCCAAACTCTGTTACAGGTTTTGAGCACTGTGCAGCCATGATGGAAGCATGTGCTCTGAGGGCTTTCTAGTTGTTTGTTTCAGTGGTACACATAAGATGCAGGGAAACATTATGAGTAGACAAAATCTCCCCCAATGTCATTGGCAGATTTTGCAGCTCGATGACATTGCAACTTTGAAGTTTTAGGTCTCAGATGTTTCGCGTTACTCACATTTGTTTTGAATGGGTGGAATGTTGCTGTTACAACCAAAATAATAGATGCAATCACAGTTTAAAATATTTGGGAAATGTACTTATTCACTTTCTTGTCATGAGTAGGAGGGGAAGACGGATACCACGCTCAGACCGGACTACTTTTGCTTTGATCTAAATTCTGGTCGGCATGCTAATGTGCTCGCAGTGGCAGTGTTGCTAGAGGTGTTAGTGGGCGTATTTTTGGTCAGGGCTAGGCTGTTTCCGTCTTTCCAGTCTTTATGCAGAGCCAAGATGATTGGCACTTGCCCCAGCTCTATACTTAATGCACAGACACAGAAGTGGTATTGATCTTCACATTTAACTCTGAGCAATAAACCAAAATCTTGTCACAATATTTTTTAGAAGGACAGTTTAACCGTGCTTTGAACATGCTGAGCAGAGCTAGAGTGTGGAAAAGTGGCCAGGTGGATGGGGTCTTGGCCTAAACCACAAATACACTGTGTTCCCAACACTGTGTGAATTCTTGCTGTATAGAGGAAAATAGCACAACTTCCACTCTGATTCTTGCAGTTTTTGTTACTGGATGTTGTTGATGTTCAGCTGTTGCCAGTGGATTTGAACTAGAAATACAAATTGGCGTGTGCACACACTAGTATCACGTCCTGGAGCTCGCACGCTGACTTGCCCCTGGGGTGGAGCCGGGCTGTCGGCCTGGCTGCCTGCCACTGTTGCCATGGTCCACATCATCCCATCCTGGCTTGTAGTGTGGTTGTCATGGTAATAACGTTTATTTGCAGAGGGCACTCTGGTCTCCGATATTTCAGACAGCAAGAGGAAGTGAAGATAAGAGAGAGGAGGGGATGCCACACATGCTGTTTGCTCAAAGGACAGGAAGCTTAATCGGTCTGTCATATCCCATCTCGTGGCACACAGAAGGAATACCCCAACAGGACCACAAAGATGGTCAGCCCTGTTGACTTGTGAGTCAGATGTTCATATCGGTCAGGCATTGGTCACGGGATAGCTCTTGTTGGTGTTGTCTCTCCCAGACAGTAAAAATCGATGTTCAACTTCCCCGCAACTCAAAAGAAATTTCAGTTCCTAGCTGGAAGAGGAGGCTAATCAGACTCTATTACATTCATAACAGTAAATGATTTTTCTTCCGTTTCATCCCAGGCACAGGACACGCCAACTAGTCTATTCCATTTCAGTGGACTCACATCATGATGACATGATCACGTTGTGTTTTTGTGTTGCAAAAATTAAACGGTAACAGACGGATAAAGTGGCTGACTGAAGAACTGGCCTGATACTGGCCTGTGTCACTCTCGGCACATTTTGGCCGATAAGTAACAAGATACATTTATGTTAATGTGAAAGCACACAGGAACAGAAGTCTGTGCAAATTGTACACAGTTGTAACCATTCCTTGACAGAACTAATGGTGCCGTTATATAGTTGGGCCACTAAAGAGCACTGACAACCTCATTTTTAGCACGCTGGCAGCATGGCAACCTGTCGGTCCACTGCTCTGGCACAAAGTGAAATATCAAATGATTGGCACAGTGTTTGGAACAAAAGCCTGACCCCCAAATTATGCATTGTCTTTCCTCTGGGGCCCTCCACAGGGTTCACATGTTTGAGTGAAATGTCTCAACAGCTACTGGATGGTTTAAATGTGCTACACACATTCATCTCCCAGTCAGGATGAATGGTAATAAGCCTAGCTCATCTGTTAAGTACATAAGCGCTCTATCTGTGACATGTTAGCTTGTAGGTCAAAGTCCTGCTGCATTGTACAGACAGTGTCTGCAGACTCTTGCTTATTTTAATTAGAAAACCTTGTTAGAAAAAAATGTTGATAGTGGAATTATGATATGGATTTCATCCACTGTGCCCAGTCCTGTTCATGACGGGATTTGTTGCAGGTTGGGTTTCATTCATCCTTTTTGAACAGTCACCAGGTGACCTGAGATAATGATATTCTTATTTCTGGCTTTTCGCTGTCTTCAGTCTTTATGACGCTCAAACTGAAAATCCTGTTGACTTTTATTCACACCTCAGACCACCTTTTACTCAGCTGCAGCTGGAAGTGAAGAGGTTTGATTACATTACAGCAGCCCTCACCGGTTTTGCTATTTATAACCACCTCTGCTGATAATGGCCAGGTAGCCTACGTGTTGGCAGTGAGCTGGGATTTCAGATTCCGTTTTAAAATCTCCTGTGTGCGCGCTTCCAGGCAGACAGTGCTCTGGCCTGGGGTGACAGAAGTGACAAAGACATCCACAGGAACACATCCACCTGTCTCGTCGTTCGTTGCTCGCTGGCTTTCCCTGTAATAAACGCTCTCCACCCTCCCAATCGCTGCGCTGTGTCAGGCAGGAGCCGCGCTCGCTGTCTGTCGCCTCATATTGGGTTTCGGCTCGGCAGCAGTCGGGTTTCTCTCCCGGAGATCAGGTTCCTAATCTCCGTCCTCTCCTCCCTCCCTCGCCGCTCTCCTCCTACCCATCACTGCTCGTTTCCCTCCGTGCACAGAACCACACTTTGGCTGGAAGTTTTCCCGACAGCGCGGTGCGCCCGGAGAGTCGGAGGCATGAGGCGACATTAGGAGGAATACGGGAGAAGAGAGCAGAGGAAACGGGCACAAAGGCGAAGGAATTACCCAGTGTGAATGAGCAGGAACTAGGGACGACGTCAAAGGTAAGCAGGAACCTTTAGGATACCACTGTTACACCGCCCTTCTACAAAGATACTGCAGGAGCCTTTACTAACACTCCTGCTTAGACTTCTGGGACTCCGAAGTGACTTTATAGTACAGTAGACCTAACCCTCGTCCTACTTTAACACGTTTTCATCTTCTTTCTGTGTGGAGTTGTAGTTTTCCTTCATCTGTGAAATACCCCATCATGTTGGATGAAGTGAGCCTAATTCCCAATTAAATGTGGGCGCCATTTATAGAGGAGCTTTAAGAGTAACATGGGCTGAATTAATGGTTAATAAACAAGTGTCTTTATAGATTAGTTATGAATAATTGATAAGCGCATAGTGACGTTATCAAGTCATTAATAAAGTGAGTCTAATGAGGTTCCCAAACTAGGAGGCGCACCTGACCACATGGACCTGGGAGCCACGGAGTTGCAGACATTAGTGTAACGAGCAGCGTTTCTAATTGCTGCACTGCAGTCACTGGTTAAACAAAGCCAGGTTAATTCGTTCCACCTGCAATTTTCCTCCTTTGACAAGTTATTTTCTGTGAAAAAGGTCTCTGCTCTATTTGACAAGGAGAAAGGGTGCTTTAACTTCATTTTCACAACAGAGACCAAAGTGTGAAAAGAAACGTGCACTTCATGTTCTTGTAAGACATTTTGCCACTTTCCTTCCCTGCTTTTGTTAACACTTGATAAGATTTAAGGTTGTGAATGTGTGTTTTACACAGATTAGCCATTAATAAAGTCATACATCTAAAGGCTGCCTTTACTGAACAAGAGGAAGCACTTTTAAAAAAAAAGCTGTTATTATTTGACAGCAGCTGTGTGATGTAAAGGCCCGTCTTTGTGAAATATTTACGGTAGTTTGAGAAACTTGGTGATGCAGTGACTACTCACAGGTAAACCTCGGATCTGGCGAGCTACTGTTTAACATGCAGAAACCTGCCAACACCAGTAAGGCACAGTAAAGAGACAAAATTGTGACGTCCCATCCGTATTCAGTAATTAGTGCAGTGCCTCATTAATCATTTTTTCATTGGTTGTTATGGAAAGAATGGAACCTGTTCCTCGGATTTCTTTCCACAGTCTCCAGCCACTACAGCTGAAGGTGAAACGTTCATGATTTTAACAAAGTTATTCAACAATTTATGCATCTAACAAAACTACAGATCCCAAGAAATAAAACTACAGAAAAATGATATTTGTACACACAGCAGCATGAACACATCTGGCTAAAATGGCAGAAATCACCTTTGGGAAATACTTCTTTGTACTATGAATTGTTTGGCTCATGTTCCATCTGCTAACATGGAGGGAGCAGGGTTTATGACCTCCACCGGCCACCAGGGGGCCATCGACTCACAGTGACTTCACTTCTGGGAGCTGTCACGTAGTCCGTCTTTATATACCGTCTACAGTCCAACTCTTTGAAATTCACCACTGCTGTCTTCTCTTTGCTGTCTGGGAGCTTGTAGCGCTCCTTCCTCTCTGTCGGGCAGACATGTCTGAACTCTTCTGTCCAGCTGTGATTTAGTCTGCAAACATCCATCAGTGGCTCATGGGAAATGGTGTTTGTTAAAGGTCACTAAAATGTAAATATTGAATAAATGGTGGCATAAAATAAGCATA